GTAGCTATTACCTACGAAGACGTTCTGGCTGTGGTTAGAAAAGTCGGAATAAATGAAGTCGAGGAGAGAAGCACGGATGCCGAGTGACTCCAGTTTCACTGGGAGACGTCTGTGCGCTACATTGTCAGAAAGGACAAATACAAGGCTACATTGGCCATTCGGACAGTGAACAAGACGAGTATCGGGTTCATGTATACAATAAATTTAAAAACCTCGCAGTTCATCAGCCTCGTATATTTACCATTCATCTAGTTGAACGGTTAAGTGATGCGCCAGATGCATTCTTGTTTTGGATTCCTGACGCCAAACTATCAACTGAATTGTAAAGTTGTTATAGCGCGTTTGAGAAGGCAGATTACTTAAATACGGGACCAATAAGGGTTTTAAAAAGTATACAGTTTTTGAAGCATAGACGCCAGCTCATCTCGTTCGAACAAAGTAGATTTTTTAACTTATATATTCCACTGTAAATGGCCCACGGTTCCACATGGTATTTAAAAAGATTGAGAATGAATTGTCAAAAATGCGCATTTCACAGCTGATGTTTCACGTTTAAAATGGGTAAATGTGATGACAGTTTGTTTAAATCGAGGAGCAGACTAAGCGCTAATTAAAAAGCAGATTTCACGAGAGTCTGGCGGTCTTTCCGTTATCCTTACTCGAGACGCTGTTTTGAGAGGTTTGGTTAATCTGTGTGGCTCTTGAGCTCAACAGGCGTAATGTCTTCTGCGTCTTTGGTCACGCTTGCAGCGGAAGCAAGCACGCAGTGGCCAGTTGTTCGTAATGCATACGAATTTGTAAAGTCGATCGGTATGCTCTTTCCACTTTCTAACTGGTTCTCAGGGCAAGGTGCTACGTCCGTAGTACACGAAGCCGTCTGCAAGTCGCTTAATCGTAAATGTGCTATAAAAATTATAAATCTCGATAAATCGAGCACCTCAGCTTCTCTTGACGAAATTAACGTTTGCTTTGTTTTCTGTGTTTAATTTGTCCTTTAGCGCGAAATTAAGTCAATGAAGAATATGAAAAACGAAAATATAGTGGCATACTATTCCTCCTTTGTTGATGGGACCGAGTTATTCATTGTAATGGATTTGTGCCAGAGAGGTAGGTTTATGGTCTCGCAATATATGCGCACTGTACCCAAGAGATTTATATTCCGAAATATATTTTAAACAAACTTTCTTGTATGTTTATGATGCATTGCTCAACTGTATTCTAGCTTAAGAGCGTCAGTTAGTCAAAGTTCATAAGAAAGACTAGGTATTCTTGCAACTACGCGGTTGAATATATTTTTAAGCACCTCAGGCAACAAACGTAAAGATTTTCGGAATTTTTGCCTAATTTCTGAAAGCACCAGCTAGAAAAAATTCATTATAGATCCAGACAGTATCAGATATCTCGTTCTTGACAGGTCTAGTAACTTGCGTTCCGAAACGCACATTTTCCTTTACTCCTTGTGCCTTTCGAATTCTGACTGAAGGCGGTGGATTAATTGCTTTCATCTGTACTCAGGGTCTCTTCTCGACGTGATTAAATTTATTCAAAGCGAACGGGACACAACCTACGGAGTTTTTGACGAAAATACCATTGCTACTATCTTGCGCGATGTTCTTCGTGGTCTCGCTTACATCCACGAAAGTGGACTAGTTCACCGGTAAGTCTTACTAATGTCATTCTGTACGGCAACCTTTCGTATGGTTTTACTCAGATGCTATCCCTTGCTTCATTTGTTGACCGAAACTCCATACATGACTTTTTTAAAGTATTTGTTTATCTCCTGCATTCAGTGAGTTATGCTTGAAAATAAACGCCTATTAGCGGTAGTTGATTTAGCGAAAAATTAGCCACTGCTCAATTACATATCATCAGTGTAGATTACCTTGACAAATGCCATCGGAAGTAACTGTCTCGTCATTTCACAGCGTTCTACTGAGCCCCGCACTGCGTGAATCACAATTTGCAGACAGAAAACCGATATTCTATCCGTCCTAATATGCACGATTACGTCTTCTGTTCAAAATCAATGCTTTCGCATAGCTGCCAAAGCTGACACCAATTCGAACGCACTCTCAAACCTACCGCGTGGACAACGACGCCTCAGATTAGTCACTGTTTCAGTATTTATAGCAGGTAGCTGCCGTGTAACTAAGAACAGAAAAGCATTAGCAATTTACACATTCATCGCAGATGACCGTGCCGAAAATATAAAGCAGAAATTGTATGCACACCACTCTTGCCCATTGTTTTCTCTGACTATGAGTTTGGGGTTGAATCCAAAACGTCAGATGAATAAAATTTTTCAAAAATAGAGTCTCCTTGTCCACTTGCACGTTCGTTTTTCGAAATGCGATTAAAACAAATCAAAATGTCACTAACCCTTGCAAGTATAAATGATCATTTTCTATTTGAAAGCGCAACTCAATCTTAAGTTTCATTTTTGCTAATTTGACCGCTCTCTCTGTGTTCTAGTGTCCAAATATGTATCGCTATTTTCTGCCGTTCATTTAACCTGGCAGTGCAAAACTTTTAAACGTCCTCCTTTCTCATCCCCGGTTAGCTGAAGTTGTATTTTTCGCGTTTTCTCTTAATGCATTTTGCCTTTTGTATTCACGCTAAACATGGGTTATCTTAAAAGAATCGCCATCAAGTAAGAGAGTAAAAAACAAATAACAGCAACGAAGGCATGTTCAAAATTACCCGGATGGGTAGCAGTACTCGAAAAAGGCGATAAGACAAGACGTAATTAGTCATTTCATTGCAATGCATTTTGAAATTCTCCTACGCCTAGAGTAAACGTATTTTATCGCCTCCCCCCCTCGTCTTTTTAACTGCCTGCGTATACCCAATTTTATTATTTTTGGCCAAAGATGCCAATAAAACCTCACTGCCTTTTTATGGTTAAAGAGTTGGTCTTATTGTCCTCAAGTAACGCTTGTAAGATAATATTTGGCACTTACAACTACAAACCTTTGTCAGTTTTATTTACGCACAGTATGCACGATAAGAGAAATTGAAAGAGCCCTGAAAATATGCTTATTCAACCTGCTCCATATACCCCTTCAATCAAGC